ATTTGTTCCAAATTTTGGATCTACATTAAAGTAGTCATAGGTAAAATATCCAGTTGAATCTAATTTACTTCCACCATTTGAATTAAAGATAGGAGTCATCCATAATGCATTCATTCCTAAGTCTTTAATATATTGAAGAGAATTAATAATACCTCGTAAATCACCACAATGTTTTGATGGTCCATATCCTGTACAATATCCTCTACTTGAATCACCATCTTGGAATGAACTTACCATAACCTGATAAATTCTAAGGTTATTGAAAATGCTTGTGTCAATAGAAAATACAAAAGTAAATAATAACAAAAAAAGTATTAATGTCATTATAATGAATGAAGTCAAACTAAAATAAAAGAGAGTTTTTGTATTGTTTATGGTGATAATTAAAATTATTACTTTAAAAAAATAAATTTTACATAAAATTTACTTCTCTTATTGCTTAAAAATTAAATATTAAAATAAATAAAAATATTAACTATAAATAATAAGACAGAAAAGTAAATTATTTCTTTGATTGAATCTTCTTCTTTGGTCTAAGATCACCTGAATGTCCACACTTCTTCTTTCTGCAAGTAGTTGCCCTAAGTGGAAGACGAGCATAACATCTTCTGCAAATCATTTTATCACAATTGTATTTTCTAGCAATAGCTTCCAAGGCTGGTTCAATACCCATAGGATGAACTACAATTTTTTAAGTTCAAAACAGGGTTGATATTATTAAAATTAAAAAATAATATAAATTATAATTTTTTTTATTTAATAAAAAAAAAAGAAACAAAAAACATTTTTTTTTAACAAAAATGAAGAAAAGGTAATTCAACAAAATTGAGAAGATTAGTTTTTGTTGCAAAGTAAAGAAAAATCTTTTCTTTTTAAAACTGAAATAATATATTACTATGGGAAATACTACTAGCCTCAGAATAGCTAATGAACCACAGTCAATGAATTATAAACAAGTTCTTGAGAAATGTCTTAAAAATTTTCCTATTTCAAGTATCGATAATGTTCATCTTGCAAATACTTTGTTTAGTAGAATTCCTAAACCATTTACTCAAAGGATATTTAGTATTTTCCCTGAAAAAATTTCATTTGAAACTGTTGTTGCTTTAGTATATATATTCATGGTTTCACCTCGTCACACCCGTGCATGTTTTGTTGTTGATTTATATATTGGAAATAAAGTGCAATTAACAAGAGACCAAGTTTATCGTTTCTTTTATGACTTAACAATAGAAACACATTCAAGTATAGATATCACAATTTTACTTGAAGACTTTGTTTCACAAAATAATCACAAAGACTACACTGATATAGACCTTATTGATTATCTAACATTTCGTATCAATATTGACAAAGTTAAAAGTCTTCCTATATTTAAATGGATTATAAGTGGTGGTACAATGCCTGAAAAAGGTTATCCTTTAATTGAACAAGAAAGAACAGTTAATGACCTTTTGTTAATGTGGGATGTAACAAAACCAAAAATTTCTACTTTAAAACATTCTAAGGTAACAAGTAAAATTATTTCTACATATTCAACCATTGATAGTTTATGTAATTTTAAAGAAAGATCAATTGAGCAATTGAGAGAAATTTACTATTTATTACATCCATTACAATATACGTCTAAAGGAGTTCCCATTCAAACTATCATATCGATATTTGCTCTTAGTTTAAATCGTTCAATTTTAGTTCCTTTAACAACATTACTAAAGAATGAGAAATACAATGAATTTTTTATCGCTATTACTTTCACTACAAAGGTTTCAAAAAATGAAAAATTTCAATTTGTTAGAGAAATAATAAACCCACCAAAAGAAGGTACTGTTAATAAACAATTTATTACTCCAATTGTTGAATCTATTTCACTTTTTTATTCTGTTGTTTATAACTCAGTTGGTGAATTTAATTTACAAGATAAAATTATTGAATTTATTTGGGAAGAATTAAAAGATTTAGGAGAACAATTTACATATGATACTTTTGAAAATGAATTTTCTTCTAATAGTAAGTTAGACACTATGGTCGATCAACTAACACAAGCCACTACAGTACTCCATGGTGTTTTACCAAAAAAACTCGAAACAGAAGCACAAGTCTTTAATGCTCTAATGAGCATGTATGAATTAAACAAGATGAAACCAGGTGAAACTGTTGTTCTTATTCCTTCAACCTGGTTTTCAAAATGGACTATGATGCTTAATTCAAGTAAAAGAGAGCCATTAGAACGAATTAATTTTAATTTATTATTAGATGATAAAGTTGCAGTGACTCTTAAACCAAATATTATGGAAAGGGATATTATTCCTCTACACCCAGAGGTATTTTTAGTGATTGACTCATGGTATAAACATGAAGGAAATGTAATTGAAAGAAGGTTATATTATAATCAAGAAAAGAAAAGAATAGACATAGAATTATTTCCATTAAAATTGTATTCATTTATTCATATTAGAGGTGAATTAGAAATACCTTCAAACACTTCACATATTGATACATTATTAATTTCTAGATTTGCTTCGTTAAGAGAGTTACATAAATCGTTATGTACTAAATATAAATTACCAATTAATAAAACACGAGTATTATTATTTGGAAAATCAAATATACCTTTAGTTGTATCAATTGTTGATGGAATTGAAATTTACCAATATTTTAAAGAAGGGTCATGGGTTTGTCTTGAAACACTCAGTGTATATTCTGAAATTCAAAATATAAATGATGGAATAACCAGTGTTGGTATCCATGGAGGTGAATATGGTATTTTTAATGAAGGAAATACATCTTATATTAGTACTGTTATTCAATGTCTTTCACACACCCCTTTAATTCGAGATTTCTTTTTGTCTCAATCCTTTAAAGAAGATACAACGAATGGACCATTGAAAAGTCTTGCAAATGCATTTTCAAACTTGCTTTATAATTTATGGAAACCATCTAACAAACCAGTAATTGTATCAATCAAAGAGTTTAGAGAAGTTTTCATAAATTGTACTCAGCAATTTAATGATAAAGACCAACATGATGTTGTGGAATATTTAACATATTTATTAGATTGTCTTCATGAGTCAGTAAATAGAAATTCAGGATGTGGATTACCGTATTTAGAAATTCCAAATGAAGACATGAAGATTATTGCTCAAAATGCGTGGAAAGAATTTAATACATTAAATCAATCAATAGTCACAGACTCATTTACTGCTATGACTAAGAACAAAATTCAGTGTACGTCTTGTAACCATATAAAATATATAATGAATCCAACTAATATTATATCTGTTCCACTACCATCTGAAAAGTTTAAAGTCATTGATTTTACTGTTGTACCTATGGACGGTCAAATTCCAATCAAATATTCAATTAAAAGTACTCAAGAACGATCATTGGGTGATTGTCTTAAAGAATTAAGTTTATTATGTGGGTTGTCCCTTTCGCACATGTTGTGTGCTGACGCTCCAGGTTCAATAATTCTCAACATTTTAAAAGACTCAACTCCAATAAAAAAATTAATAAACGGAGTTAAAGTTTTTGAAGTAGAAAAATTCCCTTCCATATTCCCTGAAAGGAGGTGCTTAAATTCAGTTATAACTAAGTCAGTTAAAAGACAATCAACCACAAACAAAATGGCTCGTACACCAAGACAGTCAATGGAAGTCGCATTGAGAAATTCAATAAAAAATACAGTGATTATCCCTCAAACTTCATTAACACCTTTGAGAATGAAGGCTGAAGTATCAAAGAAAGGAGTTGTTATGATTAATTGCTTACATAGAATTGTTACTGAAAACGAAATCTATTTCTTTAATAAATATTTAACGTCAGTCGTTTCCTTACCATTTATTCTTACTTATTCATATGAAGAACTTACAGTATCTAATATTGTACGTGGAATACTAAGACATGTTAGAGTCGCTCTTAGACAACTTGTTATCCAAGAAAATAAAATATTTATTGACTTACCAACAACATTTAATATTGAGTATTTGTTGTCAAAAGGATTAGACCAATTACCATTTGACTTAAGAGTAACAAGTTATGATGGAAAGAATTGTTTTGATTGTTCATGGGATAAAGATTGTTGTGGGTGTATATTAACAGATAAAATTCTTCAGCAATATGACTTTAATGGTTTTACATTTACTGTTTGTATTGATTGGAAGGGCAATTCATTAATTAAGTATGATCAATCAATTGCTGATTTATATCTTAAAGATGAAAGTGTTATAGCATTAAGACGGTTACAAACAGAACCCATTCAATTAGTTGATTGTTTTAAATTACTTAATTTACGTGATGAATTTTCTATTGATGATGGTTGGGTATGTCCACATTGTCAGGCTATTTGTCCTGCAACAAATGTCATTTCTTTATATTCTATGCCAATATATCTGATAGTTACCTTAAAAAGGTTCATTCAAAATGGTGATAAATGGATTAAAAGTAATGCTGAAGTTACTTTCCCTATTGAAGGATTAAAAGCAAGAGATATAGTTGACAGTTCAATAGAAACTACTGAAGAAGATGTCTATGATTTGTATGCAGTAATTAATCATATTGGAAAATTAAATGAGAGTCATTACACTGCAATTTGTAAAGTTGATAAAGATAAATGGTTAAAATTTGATGACAAGTCAGTATCTCAAGTTACTTCTGATAATATCTGTACCAACACTGCCTATATTCTTTTCTATAAAAAACGAAATGTCAACCCAGAAGACATTATGAATAAGTATCATTTTACTGACCAAAAAGAATTATTAACACAGTCATGCGTTATTATGTAAAATGAATAAAATACATAGTTAATTAATTTAATTTCTTGGTTTCTTAATGAGTTAAGTTTGATAAATGA